ACTTTTTCGTTTCGCGTTATGCTTTGCAGTGCAATGTCTAGGCTCTCTCCGATTGTCGATTTTTTGCCTTCAGTCTGGCCGATCTGAAGGGCTAGGCACTTACACTTAAGAAAGCACTTTCTAAAGTCAGCTTAACGCCCATGATTCTGTCGTTAATTCGGTTGACTTGGAATACCCTGTCTTTGGCCGCTTCATTCAGTACCACTCCAACTCCATTTCTTCTGCTTGATGTTCCACAGTGAATAAGTTTATTGCTCAGCCCAATCTTTTTCGACTACTCACATTTCCATTTCGTCTCCTGAATACAAATGATCTGAACTTTTTTCTGAAGAGTTTCCTGTAGCTCTATGCCCTTTCCCGTCATTGTTCGAATGCTCCAAATGGTTATTTATATTTTCTCAGATTGTTTCCGGCATGCCAATTTCTCCCTATCCGATTGCGATCGTCGCGATAACTAGTACCTTGCTCATTTTTCGTTTTTCACAGCCGCTGGGATTTGCTGCTATGCGTTGCATGTAAGGAACGCCCTAGAATTCTTTCTATACGTAAGTTGACTCATCATATTTGGCTTTGGTATTGGTTTTTACGGTAGCTTGTTTACCTGACGCCAACCTGTCTTTCTCAGTCAGGCTGGGAACCGACTAACGGATCGTTGGGTTCGCGGCATGCTTATTTGATGGCGGCTTGTACTCGCCATGTCTGCACTATTAATTTATCGTATAAAACGGTCAAAATGCAGTTGCAGCTGACAGCTTCAAACCATTTTCTGTAAGTTTATAACTGCCGCTATTTCAGGTGAACTTGCTGACTTGCGTCTGTCCATAGAGTTGCAACCGCAAATGCGCGGGCTTCATTTCGTGCCTTGCTTGACTCCAATTCTGGTCCAGTTTTCAGCTCCCCTCGTCACTCTCTGCGACGGACATGTGGAAAAACGATACTTGCAACCGCTCGCTATTGATAAGTAGAGCTCGGATAAGGTATCTACAAATGCTTTGCGACATAGCACCTCTTTTTGGTTTTTTTCTTTATTCTCTTTTCACATAGCTATTAGTTTTGATTACTGAAGGATAGACTGACGGGTCAGATTATTAGTTCACAGCTGCTTGATAATAGCCTTAAAGAGGCTCTCCATTTTACCAGAAAAGTGCTTGCTCTTCTTTACAGAAACAACTTTTGTAAACATTGCATATGTTATTATTAACATGCAAATGGAATTAGTAAACGTGACGAACTTGGCTTTTAGTCATTTCTGCAATCTTTCTCATTTAACGTTCTGTACAGCAGTTAATCCAAACATACTCTCTCAGCTAATTGCTTGTTTCCTTATATCGAAGACGTCTTTCAGCTGACTTTTAGCGACACAGACACTGCTGTTAAAACCGCATATGTCGCTGTTTCATTTCAAGTTTTTCGTATAGACATGGCATTCTAATGCATCTTCAGACTCTGCTTTGCCATAGACGCAATTTAGCTTCATATGCTTTATCTTTAAATTGACGGCTTGCGCCTCGTGCTGATTTTTAGTGAGCTGTCAGGCGGTCAAGTCGAATTGCAATCGTCATGGTCACGCATCTAGTGTGCTCTAGCATGGCGATACCAGTAGGCTATGCTTCCGGTATTTTCGCAACAATTTTTACCCCTGGACTGGTTGCATTAAAGTACAATGAGGTGAATTCCTTGTTCAAGGGAATTAGTAGTAAATAAAAAATTTTACAAACCCCTCACCTCTAGAGCATAGCTCTTGTAGGTGTCAGTTTTTGAAACGAGTGATGTTGGTTGCGTAACTACTTGGCAGTATTGTTTCAGAACCAATGTTATCCGCATAGCGCTGAAAGCGAAAATATTTCGAATGGTACATTGAACTTATTGAATGGTTCCATAAGGAGAAATATGATTTTTTTTGTCTTCTAGAAATCTGTTGGTTTTCTTAAACATTTTAGAGTGTGTCCGATATGCCAGGAACAAATCGCCGGTTTTCCTCGATCTCTCAAGCGAACCTGGAGGCATTAGGATGGCTATTGAAAAATGTATATGGGTGAACCGGTTTCGCGCTTCACACACAGTCACTACTTTATGAATTATTATTTTTGTTAACGCTAACCTCGTCAGGGACTAAAGCGCTGCTTCCTCGCAACACTGCCTCCACACTTTTCATGACCGCTTATTAGTCGGTTTCTGTGCTTATTTCGCTGATTTTTCTTCTATGCTGTAACCAGTGCCGTAGAGCAAAAATGCCACTTTGTGAGAAAGGAAACAGGTAAGCCACGCGCTATGCTTGCCATGTAGTTGTAGATATTGCCTTTGAAAGAACGCACTCCTGGCTGATGACAGAGAAAAAAATCAGCAGCGTGACATAACCTCCGTGAATCGAAGGATGTCGCAAATGCTGCTCGTCATGGAAATACAAGGATATCGACATTCCTCTGCCATTTAGCAAAAGTGTTGTAGAACAGCGAATGCAACGCATATGACAAACCATAGTCGTTTTGCTTATGCAGATGTATCAAGGTGGTTATGATCTCACCGCGCACAGCACAGAGGGACTCTGCCGTAGCCGGCCTTGCCTCGGTACTCAAACTGAATTGTTTATACTTCCGTTTTTTACTCAAGATTTTCGAAGACCATTATATGGGTAGCAAATGACTGGGGTGACATTTTCTATAGTTCTGTTATGCTTTGCGAGGTATATGCACATAAAGCCACAAGTTTTTCCAGTGAAAAGTTGGACATATGCATTATTCTTTTTCTGACTGACGAGCTGTTGTAATGTGGTGAGTAAATCGGAAGTATTCTGTAGACGGACAACTGCGAATTATATAGATTCTAGCTGGCGGCCACAGGGTTGCGCCAAAACTCCCACGTCGAAGCCGCATGGGTCCTCGTCTTGGCCAGTCGGCAGATAGAAAACTGTCCTTCGAGTCTTCGCTTGTTTGAATTAGCTTCTATTCGTGAATGCCTCATTTTCTTTGCGGATCTGAATACTGCCTTATATGATCGAGGTCAAACGTGACTACGCTGTCCTGCTTCTGCAAAATGCAGTATAGGAATGCCAGTGCGATGTTGTCAGCGAGAAGTCACAGATATAGATTGCAAGCAGCAACGCAGTAACTACTGGGCCTCACGGAGTCCATTGTTATCAACCGTTTCTTGCTGAATTGTCGTCGTTCGATGGGTAGCTGATGCCAACGGTCAAAATTCATGGTGCAATAAGGTATAGGATTCTTTTCGCATTTCATGACCATACATTCCCCTATACACAATCTGTCTAGTCATTTAAACATTATCATTGCTAGTAACCTGCATTATAATTTACTGTGGCTTCGTGTTACTCAAGCATAGTTCATATATCAGGTACAAGGGTACAGATTGCGTCTGTGTGACTTCGAACGGCCATGCGAAACGACCATGTAAACTCATGCTGTTATATTGAAAACCTAGTATTGGCATGCCTATGAATCCAGACCACAGAGCAAGGCAGTTTGGCTTCAGACTGGGTCCATTAGAAAGAACCTCTCAAGTTGCTACAGTCGCTACGCGAAAGGAATAGCGGGTTTAGAAAATAAATGAGTGAATATCTCTAGAGGGTTTTCAGAGTTTACCATCGCTGAAGGTCATATCATCGGTCGATGATACGTCACTTGATACCACTTGTTTTGGTTTACTTCAGTCAAGGTGGTAAGAGTAACTTCCGCTCTCACCAGCCAGTGCGTTCTTCAACGAGGGCAGCTCAAATAATCGAGAACATTGTATGAATGAAAATTAACTTCACCGAAATTAAAAATTTTCAACTTGCTGTCACGTGCTAATAGATCTTACGTACACTTGTACTATTTTTTGTAGTAACCGCAACGCGCAACGCCTTACCGGCTTAAGTATTAGTGTAGAATCTGCCACTGTGCTGCGATTTTCTCATCATGATACTTGTTTGAAAGTGTACTGCTTGAATGGAATCACGAAGGAACTCCATTTTTCAGCATATGCAAAAGTGCTCGATTATTACAGTTAATAGTTGTGCACAGAGAATAAATAGCAGTACAGAATATGAATGTAACAACCATGCTTTCTTTAATGATGAGCTTTGCGCAAGATTACATTTTTGACATTTTCTTACAATTCTGTGGAGAAAGTTTCTTAGCGGTCATACTGAGTATTCGAAGAGCTCGCTTGAATACCGTAACTCGCCAATCATCTGCTGATGAAAGGGGATACGGCATCATATATTTAGCAGCAAAGAAAAGCACAATAGACTATCCCGAACATGAAGACAAAGAAACGGTAAATTGTAACAAAGTAAGTATACAAAAGTATACAAGAAAGAACTTTGAGCCGAACTACAAGATCGGGACGTCCTAAGTGCAAAGTACACCAGAACGATTATAATTAAAGACAGAGGAAATGGCGAACGACCACTCTACCTACCTAATAATCGACTGTTATGAAAATGAACCATGTCATGAATCAAGTAGCCACCTTCAGTAGTATTTTTTGCTGTTAAATTTCAGGTTCTTTTTATCTTTTAAATTGCATAGTTTTACTTTCATATCTTGTCTCAAAAAGCGAAAGACTCCGCTCTGTCCAGAATTCACGGTGTAGTGCACCGTACCCTTGCTCCTAGTTGCCTGGGGGAACAGTTAGGCAGGCCACGGCTGCGTGATGTTTGAGCATCCTCAGTGCCAAATGCATCTCGCATCATTTTGTGTGCTGGAGCCACTTCACGCTTATCTCGAACAATGTTGTAGGAAGCGGTACTCTTCACACGATACTGCACAAACTTCACAAGTTGTTGGTACACCCAAACGCGACTATGTCAAATAGGGAATGACTCTTCCAAGACCATGTTTCGTTTCATCTCTTAATTCGGTTAAATACACTGGTTGAGAAAATGAATGATTTAGCGTTTGAGAATGGAGTTAAATCTTTTAAGTGAAATGTGATCACATTCGCAAAATAAGTTTTAGGATTGTTTCTTGTAGAAATGATGCACTGGATTCCTTTTATTCATGGCCGAAGTGAGTGATCGTTGCAGGGTGTTTCCTGTTGCCTTCCTTAAACGGAAGAACTTGAGTCGGGAAGAAAGTGATGAACAACAAGCCGAAGTATGGAGGATGAAAGAACGAATGAAAACAGTTTCTGTTGCTCTCGTTTTGTGCTTAAATGTCGGCGTCGATCCACCT